GAGAGAGAGAGAGAGAGAGAGAGAGAGAGAGAGAGAGAGAGAGAGAGAGAGAGAGAGAGAGAGAGAGAGAGAGAGAGAGAGAGAGAGAGACCCCACCCACAGCGCCATGGAGGTCCGGCGGACTCGGCACGGGGGTCCGGCGGAACCTTCTCCCCCTCTCCCTCGCGGGGTCCGGCGGAACCTTCTCCCCCTCTCCCTCGCGGGGTCTAGCGGAACCGTCCCCCCCTCTCCCTCGCGGGGTCCGGCGGAACCTTTCCCCCCTCTCCCTCACGGGGTCCGACGGAACCTTCCCCCCCTCTCCCTCGCCCGCAGCGCCATGGGTGTCTCGAACCGCCGGATCCCCATGCCGCCATGGGCATGGGGGTCCACCGTTCTAGGAACGCCGGACCCCCATGGCGCTGCGGGCGAGGGAGAGGGGGGGAAGGTTCCGCCGGACCCCCATGCCGCCGCAGACATGGGGGATCCGGCGTTCCCAGAATGTCGGACCCCCATACCTGTTGCGGCATGGGGGTCGTGACATGGGGGATCCGGCGTTCCTAGAATGTCGGACCCCCATGCCCGTTGCGGCATGGGGGTCCGGCGAAATCGAACCGCAGGATCCCCATGCTGCCACGGGCGAAGGGGTCCAGCGTTCTGGGAACGCCGGACCCTAACGGCGCTGCGGTCGAGGGAGAGGGGGGGAAGGTTCCGCCAGACCCTCATACCGCCACGGGCGAAGGGTCCAGCGTTCTGGGAATGTCGGACCCCCTTGGCGCTGCGGGCATGGGGGTCCGGCGTTTTGGCGTTTTGGGAGCACCTGACCCCCATGCCGGTAAGAGATGGGGTCCAGCGTTCCGGGAACGCCGGACCCCCATGCCCGATAGAGTTAGGGTCCAGCGTTTTCGGAACGCCGGACCTCCATCCCGTCGCGGGCGAGGGGGATCCGGCATTCCCAGAATGGCAAACCCCCACGCCGCCGCCGGCGAGGCGGTCCGGCGGTCTGGATCCGGCGAACCCCTTGCATTCATCGGGGGAGGGGGTCCAACGGATCCGGAACGCCGGAACCCCTTCCCCGTGTGCATGGGGTCCGGCGTTCTCGAGGTCCGCGAAAAGCCAAAAGGGGCCCGTGTTCGTGTTGTGGTCTTCAAGCAACAAGTGCTTCTTTGTGTCACTCAATTGCATTCACCTATTGTCTTTTTTTTTTGTCGTGCATCCCTTCAGGAAAATGTGCGTACGGCATGTCTAAGCTCTACAACCACAAACCCTGGGCTCTTGACTGGGTTGGTGGTCTTCATACATCCAGTTATGGAGCCGTTGTCTTCTTGAGCGATGACAACGGCGGCAGTTGGTACTGTTGCGGAGGGGTTGAGAAATCTGAAGCGGGGAGGGCTAACTACGACGATAGGAAGTTTAGGACGTTCTTTCTTACCTCTGTCTATGACAGCGAGGGGAAAAACTGGGTCAAGGAAGACAATAAGGTGTTTCTCGACCTTCGTCTCTTCCAAGGCTACGGTAACAAGGCTTTCTCGATGAAAGCGTTTGACGTGCGTAGCGATGGCACGGAGTTCCGAATGCTGGATCCAGAAAAGTTCCTCTCCAAAACCAACGGTTGCCGCGTCACTGGCTCCCTGCCATTCGTCGACAGTCCTTTCCTGCTCAGCGGCCCTTTGGTCCAGTTCAACAGCCTGACGGACCAACCGACAGGTGTTGTAATGCGATACAGGGAACAATTCACGAAGTTGCCTGTTGCCCAGCAAGTGGACCGTGCTTTCGTGCCCATTGACGCGGGTCCCAAACGGTGCCAATATCAGCCCGCCACACCGCGTGCGAAGAGGAAGCAATTGTTGACTCGCGCCTCTTCGTTGAATGCATTTGCCTAGGCTCTTTCCGCTCCGGTCTCGCCCTCGCATCTACAAGGTCAGGATGCGGCCGAGCAGTCCAGCGAGGCCACAGACTACGACGACGGAGCTCTGCGCCACCGGGCTAGTCCCCAACATCGTTCCCAGGGAGGTGCACGTGCCTTCGATGAGGAGGAATGCGAGGGCCAAGAGGGGGAGGATGGTGGTGAGGAGGACGACGGGGGCAATGAAGGAGATGTGGATGGTGAAGACAATGACGTGGACAACGACAGATACGTTGGTGGTGAGGAAGTCGAAGACAATCGCTTCTACCAATGCGAGCGCCGGCGCGACGTCAACGAAACACAGGCTTGTCGTGGGGATGACGCCTATGGCGTAAGTGATGCGAACGACGCTGATGGCCAGCCTGCAACCTCCCATGAAGTGTCGCAGTCGTATAACCAGGCAAAGGATGGGAGAGACAAACATGGCTCACGGGGAAAGAGAAAGAGGGGAGAAGCGTCGATCTCTCCAATGAGTCAAACGAAACAAGCGAGGATTGACGCTGTCAATGAGGCTCTCTTAGCGTTGACAACAGCCCAGGAAACGCGGGCTCCTCGGAAAACTGGCGGGGGGGGGGGCGAACTGGCAGTCGTGGCGGTGGCCGTGACGGCCGTAGGAAAGGCTCGCAGAGGGTCAGGCCACATGAACTGCGGGACTCGGGGGATGAGGGCGAGGGGGTGGGGCCTCGCATGCCCAAAGGTGTTGACGACCCAGTTCAGCACGCCGCGCCCCTCGACATGACGCGCTGTTTCTTTCTCGAATACGACGAGCACGACTTCCCAGGCAACATGTCCATGTTGTTAACGTCGACATCACAAGAATCAAACGCATTCCCCGTGGGAAAATTCTTTATAACCACCGCTCGTTGTCTAAGAACATTGTAAGAGGCATCGAGAATGTCATCGAAAACTCCATCACTGTCGACCCGGGGACGTGGGATAGGCCTGAACTCGTTCTTGCACCGGTTGACCCGAACGACATTGTCGGCGGACAAGGAAGGCGAATCACGCCGGACGAGTTCTGTCAAAGGGACTCTGCAGAGTTTGATTGGTACGCTGTCTGTGGTCAGCATACCGCCGATGCCATGAAACGGTTGGTGGCAAAGGGCTCCGCCGCAGAGAATGAAACTGTGATTAGAACAGGAAAGGTCGCATTCCTAGAATATAAGTGGTGAACTCATTTTCTTCATCAAACTTTTCGACAGCGAAATGAGGTATCGAGAGCGAGAGGTGCAGCATTGGTCGAAAGACGTTATAATAAGTGACATGGACTTGATCATTGCCCCTTTCCATATCGCACACATGAACCACTGGACCCTCGTTGTGGCTGACTTCAGAAGGAGGAAATTCGAATTTTATGACTCCCTCAGCCCCGACATGGAACTGACAAGAAAAGAGACCGACGGATTTGCAAAGTTTTTATTCGAAAGATCGATTGAGCAAGGCAAAGAGGTGGACACAAAACCGTTTAATCACATATGGAACGTAGAGGGCGTCCCGAAACAACGTGACACAAACTCATGCGGGGTCTTCATGCTCACATACGCATCGCTCTTGGCAAGGGGGCACCTTCCGCCTTTCTCTTTCACCGCTGATGACATACCCGCAATACGTCATCGACTGGCTTTGGACACTGTGGCTCGTGAGTAGTATGTATATTATGATATCATGCGGACTGATGTGGGTAACATGAAATTGTTTGTGACGGAAACAGTGTATAGAAGGTGGCAAACATTGCTCCATACTCTTACCCCTTACCCCTTGCCATTTACCCCTTATCCCTTATCCCTGACCGCTAAACCCCTTACCCCTTACCCCTTACGTGTACACCCGTACCCCAAACCTCGAATTTCAAATGCAGATTTGACCCAAAATGACCATGAAAATGTCAATTTCAATTTCGTTCAAAAAATATAAAATGTCTGTTTTGACGAAATCGCAGTTCTACCTGAAAACCGACCCGCTGCAACTCCAGGCACACTGGAGTATGGTATGTAGTATGAGAAGTTGCTGCAAGGGGCTGTCGAGCATATGAAGAAAGCTCAGCAAGCAATGATTGTTTCTGAGAATCAACATCGTAGACAGTCCACATTTCAAGTAGGGGAACGAGTCTGGGTCAAGGCTAGTGAGTTAGGACAGGAGTTCGGAATCTCT